GTGAGTGGCTGATGCTGAGTCCTTGGTAACAAAAAGAACTGAGCTGAAGGATCATGGAATTCTTTAGGCTGGAAAAACCCACTGAGATCATCGAGTCCAGCCATTAACCAGCACTGCTGTGTCCCCACCAAACCATGTCCCCAAGTGCCACATCCACATGGATTTTTAACACTTCCAGAGCTGAGGACTCCACCCCTGCCCTGAGCAGCCTGTTCCCATCCTTGACAAGCCTTTGCATGAAGAAATTTTCTCTACTAGCCAACCTAAACCTCCCCTGGCACAATTTGAGGTCATTTCCCCTTGTCCCATCGCTTGTTCCCTGGGAGATGCTGTTCCTGGCGCCGAAGGGCAGTGGGAGCTGCTGCCAGGGCTGAGCTCAGTCTCGTGTCCAGCCCTGCAGGGCCAAGCTCTGACCTCTCCCTCCTGTGCTGTCACTGCAGATAAAGTACCACGAGGAGTTCGAGCGCAGCAGGATGGGCCCCAGCCCTGGGGAAGGTGCCGAGCTGGAGCGCAGGAACTCCCAGGAGAGCACCAACTACCGCAGACCCACGGAGCAGCATCAGCCGTCCCACCACGTCCAGCCCAGCAACCCAGGTGAGGCAGGGGGCAGCCAGCTCTTCCTCAGGGGCATTGCTGTGTCCCCCAGAGCCCAGAGAACAGATCTCCCTTCTCCCTGCAGTGTAACCACCAGCAGCCAGCAGCAGCAGCCACCGTCTCAGTCCTACGGCTACAAGGAGCCAGCGGTGCCAGCCTCGACACAGCGCAACGCCCCGGCTGGAGGGGGGGTGAGTACAGCCCAGGGCACCCCAGCACCACCACCTCCTCCCCACCCCACAGGGCTGTGCTCTGCTTGCTGCTCACTCCTCTCTGCAGGGAGAGCAGCTTGGAAGGCTCTTGCCAGTGGAAGAAATGCTTGGATGATGCTCTCGGGCACATGGTGTGATTCTCGGGGATGTCCAGAGTTGGATTTGATGATCTTTGTGGGTCTTTTCCAACTCTGAGTATTCTGTTGTTCTGTTGCTGTGCCATCCTCTGTGCTGGGGGGCACTGTGTCACCCCTGCAGCTTCCTCTGGGCCAGGGCCTGAGGGTCCCCTGGGACACTTCTTCTCAGCAGTGATCACTCCTCAAAGTCACTCAGAATCTTCCTGCTTTTCTCGTGCTGCTGCCAAGTTTTTGGGACCCTCCTGAGCCCTCCACCTGCTGGGTGGCTGGTCTGTGGAGCCAGCAGGATCAGCTCCCATCCCTGTGCCTCCTCTGAGCCATGGGGGAAGGATCCTCCCTCTCTGCCACCACCCTGGGACCATCCTGGGTGTCTGTGCCCTCCAGCAGCTCAGTCTGGAGGGGTTTGGGGCACCATGAGCCACCCTGCAGCTCTCCTTCCTGGTGGCAGCTTTTGCGACCACTGCTGACTTGGAATCATGTCCTGGACCAAAATCTCTAAGCACATCCCTGTCCCCTTCTCCTCTGGGCTCCAAAGGTCCTGGAGCTGAGTGGGGACAGGGATAACTGGAAGCCTGTGTGGAGAGGGAGGATTCAGATTAGATGTTAGGAACAATTTGGGGTGTTCAGGCACTGGAATATTGCCCAGGGAGGTGGTGCTGGAACACCTGGAGGTGTTTAAGAGGTGTCTGGGTCTGGTGCTGGAGGATATGATCTTAGTCCTCCAACCTTGATGATCCATGAGTGGGATGCTCTGCTGGGTCACAGGAGCAGGACATGAGCACAGTGATGATGTCCCTTCCCAAATCCAGCACACTCCTTGCCCGGGGACCCCTGTGGGTGGCAGCAGTGCCTGCCTGGCCCAGGAGCTGAGCCCTCTCTCCCCACAGAAACGTTTCCGTGCCGTGTATGACTACAACGCTGCCGACGAGGACGAGGTGTCCTTCCAGGATGGAGACACCATCATCAACGTGCAGCAGATCGACGACGGGTGGATGTACGGCACGGTGGAGCGCACGGGCGACACGGGGATGCTCCCTGCCAACTACGTGGAGGCCATCTGAGCCCTGGGGGGGGAGGTCGGGGCTTGGGGGGCCTGCCTGGTCCCCTGTGTGTGTGTGTCTCTCTGCCCCACTCTCCCTTCTCCGTGTGCTCCGGCGTGGCCGCGCGGAGCCGCGTCCTGACATCTCGGTCACTGTGTGTGTCTGCAGCCGCCTCCGGTTTCTCTTGCCAATTTAGCTTTGTTGTAGCTCCGTGGGGACTCTGAGGGACTGTCTGCAGGGCTTGGGAGGGGTTCCAGGGGCCTGAACTGCCACAGCTTTCCTGCTCCTAGGGTCTCCCTCCTCTCCAGCCCTCCCTGCAGCTGGAGTCACCCTGATCCCAGCAAAGAGTCACCGTGATCCCAGTAAAGGGAGAGGGAGACTGTGTTGGGACCAAATTCCCCCCAGCCTGGCAGGGATGGGCAGAGGGAAGTGATGTCTGTGTGGAGAAGGTGAGGGATGTTCATCCTGAGGGTGCAGGGATGGACTGGCAGCCTCAGCCTGCTCCACTCTGGCTCTGGTGAATCCCAGTGCTTCTCCAGGCTCCTCTGAGCAGTTTTCATTCAATCTTTGCTCCCTGCAGTCCTCAAAACAGAAAAACAAATCTCAAACAAAATCTCCTTGAGTTTCTGCTCAGGGCAACCCTGGAAGCAGCTCTGGCTGCTCCTGCCTCAGGCTCTGGCTGCACTATTCCACCTCCCTGACCCCTCTGAGCCAGGGGAAGGAGCAGTTGGCATCGCTTTGCCTGGAGGCTGCTGCTCCAGTTCCAGGGCTGGAGCTGGGCTGGGCTCCATCCTCTGTGCTGGGGGGCACTGTGACACCCCTGCAGCTTCCTCTGGGCCGGGGGCTCTTCTTCTCAGCAGTGATCACTCCTCAAAGTCACCCAGAATCCTCCTGCTTTTCTCTTGCTGCTGCCAAGTTTTTGGGACCCTCCTGAGCCCTCTACCTGCTGGATCAGCCAGCAGGATCAGCTCCCATCCCTGTGCCTCCTCTGAGCCATGTGGGAAGGATCCTCCCCCTCTGCCACCACCCTGGGACCATCTTGGGTGTCTGTGCCCTCCAGCAGCTCAGTCTGGAGGGGTTTGGGGCACCCTGAGCCACCCTGCAGCTCTTCTTCCTGGTGGCAGCTTTTGGGACCACTGCTGACTTGGAATCATGTCCTGGACCAAAATCTCTAAGCACATCCCTGTCCCCTTCTCCTCTGGGCTCCAAAGGTCCTGGAGCTGAGTGGGGACAGGGATAACTGGAAGCCTGTGTGGGGAAGGAGGAGTGGGATGTTCTCCTGGGTCACAGGAGCAGGACATCAGGATGGTAGTGTCCCCTTGCCAGGGGCAGGATGCTCCCAGGGGGAAAGTGCTGCCTTTGCTATTCCTGGAGGAAAAAATGGAATATAGGGACCAAAGCAGCTTAGTTGAGACATTCCTTGGTTCTCTTTGGGGACACAGAACTGGTCAGGCTGGAAGGGACCACAGTGGGTCATCTGGTCCATTGGATGTGTCCCCAAGGTCACATCCCTGGGGACATATCCATTAAAGCACACAGGGATGGGGCTGGGATTGGGGGGATTGGGATTGGGAGCTGCTGGAGCAAGTGCTGTGCTGGTGGGGAGAGGATCTCTGCTAGGGAGAGACTCACCAGGAGGAGAGGAGAGTTTCCCTCCTGGCTCATTCCCCAGGCAGCTGCAGTGGGATGGGGGGAGAGTGACCCCAGGAGCAGCTAGGATGGGCTGTCCGGGCTGGGAATCCCAGTTGGTGCTAAAACCAGTGAGCTCAAGAGCAGGGAGGGGGCGGCTGGGCAGGGGATCTGCATCTCCTGCTAATCCTCTTCTTAATCACGTTCTTGTCTGGGAATGGGGGGGGAGCATCAATGTGAATAAACCTTTTTTAATGGACCAAATAACACAGGCAATTCCGTTTTGGGATACAGACCTTTTTTTAATGCTACCTTGAAACCATTGTCCCTAATTCTCTCCCATTCCCTGCCCCTTCTCCCCTGCCGTGGGAAACAAACCTCTTACTGCTTCATTTCTGCCTTTTTTCTCTCAACTTATGCACTTTTTTGCCTTTTTTTCATAGCTGAAAAGCACCTAAACCTGTATTTAAAATAAAGAAATAAATAAAAGAGTAAAAAAAAAAAAAGATTAAAAGCTGAATTGCTTCTCATCACGTGTGAAATAGATCTCTTCCATCCCAGCTTCCCTGGTTGCATCTCGGTGCTGAGCTTAGAACGTGTTTTTCTTCGGGAATCCGTCGTTTGATTGGGGTTTGTCCTTGTGTCCTCCTTCCCAACAAAACATGGGATTTGGCCTTTTGATCCCAAACCATCGAATGGAACAAACCAACTGATTCTCTTCCTGGTTCACTCGGATTGAAAATAAAAGTCTAATTTTTACCTGCTGATTGTGCTGCCTGTGATTGCCGTCGCTTTTCCAGCTTTTTTGCCCTGGGACACAGGGGGGATCTTGGCACTAGGGGAGGTTGCCAGAGCCAGGTCCTCATCTCACCTGGGACTGGGAAGCACTGGCAGCCTTGGGATGCAGCTTCTTGGCTCATCCCCTGCTTTTGGCACAGCAGGAAGCCAAAGGATGTGTTTTGGGCTTTCCAACCCTGGGAATTCAGCCTTTCCAGGTGGGATTGTCAGTGTTTAGCAGTGGGGGAAAAAATCTGGAAGGTGTGTGGAGAAGGAGGTTCTTTGCATCAACAGCATTAGCCAAAAAAATTAAGGAAAACAAAGTGGTTCCATGTCTGACACTGGAAGCAAAGGATGCTGCAGGATCCCAGGAGCACCAGGCTGAAAGGTGAGTTCAGAGTGGTCCTGATGTGGCTTTGCCACTGCCAGAGCTGATTTTTCCTTCTTTCCCCATAGGATGGGCCCATTCCCAGCTGCAAACGGGAGGGGGTCACGATGCCACGAGCATCCCCATGGCCCGGGCAGCGGTTTGGGAAGAAGGAGCAGGGGCACAGTGACTTTCCCGCAGGCACAGGGTGGGAAGGATCCGAGCCCAGCCCGCCGGGCTGCAGCCCCAGCTGCTTCCCTGTGCTTATCCCTTTATTTTCCTCCTGCCTGCTGGAAAGCAGCTCCATCAGCTCCGGCATCAGCTCTCCATCCTGAGCGGAGCGAGCCGTGCTCGGGCTGGGAGGGGAGGACGCAGCGCTGGCTCTGCCCAGCATCCCTGTCCGTGCCGCGGGAGCTCGGCGCTCCCGGACCCTCTTCCTCCCGCTCCCTCCGCCTCCTCCCTGCCCCTCCACCTCCTCCCTGTCCCGCCGCCTCCTCCCTCACCATGCTGGATATTTTCATCCTGATGTTCTTTGCCATCATCGGCCTGGTGATCCTCTCCTACATCATCTACATGCTCTAGAGAGATGCTGGGGAAGATGTGGCTCAGCATCACAATCCAAGAAGCCTCGTCCAGGTGAGCCAGCTGCTCCCTGTCCCAATTCCTGGGCAGGGATGTGTGCTGAGAGGGGGGAGAAGGGACAGTCTGAGGTTTAATGCTGCTGTTGTCTTTGGCTGCCCGGGAGGGGGGTGAGGGATAAATCAGGCCACTCGCCCGCTGAGACATCCCCAGCCATTGTGTGACTGCTGCTTTCTCCTGGCTGCATTGATCAGCCCTTTCCCACTTGGAAAAGCTGCTGTTTGCAGCACGAGCTTGTGGCTTTTGTTCCCAAGAGGGAGAGGGATAAAACAGCTTGGGAGAGAAGCAAGAAGAGATCCTGGTTGTGTCATGGCAGAGGAGGCAAAGGGCAGGGAGGGACAAAGGGGTGAAGGAAGGCTGTGAGCTCTGTTTGTGCTCACACACACACATTGCTGCTCCCCCATCCCCATCCCGGGCTGTCCCACAGCTCCAGGCCCAGCACAGCTTCTCCTTTCTCTTCCACAGCCTCTGCCTGGTGTGTCCCTCGGAACCTTCTGGAACAGCGTTAACCTCTGCGAGCCCAGCGCGGAGCACGGAGCGCTGGCACCGAGGGGACTGAGCCAGCACAGCCAGGGGGGCAGGAGGGGAATGGGGGCACAGGGGAAGGGGCTACGAGGTGACATCCCACGTGGGATGCTCCTGGTGACACTCCCAGGGGGATGCAGAGGGTCCTGCCCCCTGCCCCATGTGCTGTATCCCCTCAGGATGAGTGTTCCTGAGGTTGGGCATTTGGGGTTAATTTTAGAGAAGCACTTATATTTTTAATGAAAATTGTTGGAGGGAGTGGAATAAAAGAGGAATGATTTGGGAGAGGGAATGTGGCTGCTGGTGTTGACTGCTGGGATGTCGATGGGGATGGGGGGGATGCGGCTCCGGGGGCAAAGCCTGGGTGTGTGGAGAGATCCAGGGCATCCATGAACTCTGGGAATGGTGAGAGGTTGGAAAACCAAGCTGAGACAGCTCTCTGTCCTCCAGGACAAGCAGCAGCCCCTGGAGAGAGTCCCTGAGCCAGGGGTCCCAGCCAGGATTGAGAGGGTGCCCCAGTGCCATGGTGATCCTCACTCGGGTCCCTCTCTGGAGTCTAGTTAATCTCAGGATGGAAAAAGGAACATTTTAAACACATTGGAAAATTCCGTGGGCTGCAAAGAACTTTTCAGAGCTTCATTTCCCCCTGAGTGGAGAGGTCTGGGGAGGTATTTGGAGCATCAGGAGGATTTATCCTGTCCTGTTATGAAATCCACATTGATCCCTGTCCTGACACCATCACTCACAGGGAACGACTGAGAGTTTCACCCCCACAGAACACAAAATATTCACATGCTTGGTGTCTCCTAGAGCCATAGATCTATTTTTAAGCCATAAACACTGAAATATCCACGATGGGAAAAGCTACTCGTGTCCCTTTAGTTATCCATGGAACCACCACACAAGAGGGTGGGGAAGAACAGGATCCAGGACAGCAGG